CCTGTCCTGGGAGTATCCCGCCTCTCCCTCATAGACAGCTGGAGATAGTCACCAGCACCCCACAAGACCCCAGCAGGGATAAGCGTGTTGAAAAATGGATGGATAATCCAAAGTCATGGCAAATTGCTATGACTCTTAAAAAAATCAAGCTGTGTGTTTATGCCCAGTAGTTTAGGTAGAATTAAATAAAAGTTAAAAAGGCAGTGAAAGGGATGTACAAATAATAGTTCATAAAATCAGTTTAATATAATAGGGATTGGAATGTTCCAATACACTATAACATCTACTTCCTCTTTAAAACTTTAAACCTCTTTAAAACGCAGTTTTAGTTTGACATGCGCCAAACAGTCATCCCTAAATCCCTAAATATTGTAGGCTGAAGTCCTTAGGTTGTTTAGATGAGTCAGAAAAAATCCTGTAATAATACTGTTAGAATGAAATAGAGTTTTCATTTTCTTTTATAGAGCAATAATTCACAACTTATGTTGTTTCTTATCCAAAAAATATTAAAATGAAATTATTTGCATTTTGATATATTCAGATTTGATTAGATGCAACCGAGTTAGATCTGAGTCATATTACAATCTGATTAAATTAAAATAATCCGAGCTATTCTCTTTTTACAATAAGCAGCCCCAGTAAGCAGTTCTGTCTGCACCACAGTGCTGCACAGGGTTTGATTTTACATTAAATTAAACAAAGACGGTGTAGGAATAAAATTCCCAACTTCAAGTATGTGACACAACTATTTTGCCCTGGGCTCCATAATTACCTGAGAGCTCAAATTAACCTATTCCAATGTTCCTGTTTATTTGAATAGCTATGATGTGTCCTCACTGATATTTTGACTTGTTCTTAGGTTTTCTGTGAAGAAAGAGAATATGATCCACTATCATTGACTGTGTTAAAAAGCTTCTTCCTTACTACATCGCAATCCCGGCAGATAGAAAGTCTTTTTAACGAGCTTCACTTGATGCCAGGATAACAAGCAAATTACACGCTGTCAGTAGGGGGATAGAATTGGAAACTTTTTTCTTTTTTTTTTTGCATGATGTTTCCACCAGAGCAAAACACCCAGTGCCAGGGGTGGGTTATGTACCCAAAAATGGTACCCAAGTAAAAGTAGCACTACTTCCAACAATTATTTTACTAAAAGCAAAAAGTACAGTAAGAGTAAAAAGTAGTCATCCAAGAAATTACTCAAGAGCAGAATGAAACAATTTGGTAAAAACGTGCTGGTGAAGGTTCTCAGTCATACAGGTTATAGTCATTGCAAAAAAAAAAATCCCATCCAAGTTTCTTATACCCCGTTTACACTACCCTTAAAAAACTGAGCCGAGACCGGTCCGAGCTCAGTAACTGAGATAACTTGTCGTGTGTGAACGGAAACAACCTGAACTGAACCGAGATAGACATAACCGGGCCGCGCTAACTGCAGACCAGTTCCCGAGGTGGGTTCGGCTCGGTTTTTTCCTGGCTCGGTTCTCTGATAACAAGAGCGCATGAGCAGAACGCGTCATCGCCGACTGGCTGAACATGCCGATTCACACTCCATTCAAGTACATCCGCGCAAGGTTGCCGTCTTCGCCTGACCCACCGCAAACACGGAAGTACAACAATAATAATCAAGCATAACTTTCTGAATGTGACGGGCGCCGCCATTTTGATTTGCTTGATTCCCTCCTCCTTCGTCTTCTTCTTCTTGGGTTTTACGGCGGTTGACAAACAGCGTTTGGTGCATTACCGCCACCAGCTGCTTGAGTCCCTCCTTCAATCCTAGCAGTAATACCGCACATCGTCACTAGGAGGCGAGGAGTCGAGGAGTCGAGATAACCGAGATAAGTGTGACGTGTGAACGGTCGTCAAAACTGAGCTTGGCCTGGTTACCGATCCAAGCTCGGACCGGTCTGGGCCTGGATCGGTTTTTCAAGGGTAGTGTAAATGGGGCTATAGAACTCAGGTTCCAGCTTTAAAAAACTTACAATGCAGCAATTAAGTTAATCCCTTCCCGTTATCATCGCAGCCCCACCCCCTGTTCAGGAGAGTGGAGGACCTCGTCTATTCAGCCAGTCCAACAATCCCCTTTAACAACCGACCTTTCAGACACTTAGATGGGTATGGGGTATTGCAGTATAACAAAAGAGGACAATTGACACCCATTCCAAATGGGTGAACCCCTTCGTATATTCCAATTTGCATGTTTTCAAAACAAAAAAAGGCCTTGTTGGTCTACTGTATAAAACCTCGAACTCAACGCTATTGCGGACATTTTGAACTGAAAAAACTTCCTGGATAGGGAGCTTTTTTGTATTTTCTGATATTTTATTTTAGTACTTTTCTATGTAAGGCGCTATATAAATAAACTTTACTTACAAAATTTTAACAGTTGGCTCTAAATCTAGATTCTAATTCAACTGTATGTACTGCACATATATAGTGAACTGAAAGGAAAAGTCTTGAATCGTGCATAGCTCCAGTTTGGACTGGATGACAACAGTTGTCATCAGTCCTGTTTGTGAGTTTATTTGCTCCTGTTTGCCATGCTTTTCATGGCAAACAGGAGCAAAGATAAGGTGCAGCAGTCCTCAAGGATCACAGACTGCAAAAGAAACCAACTTGAAGTTATGCCAGTGAGGACACTGCTGATGCGGCCTAGAGGACAAAGTTATATCAACATATTGGGACTGCACATCAGGTTTCCTTTATAAAAAAGATGCTAAAACTTAATAGTTTTTGGCTTTTGTGAGAAGATCATAATTCTTAACTTTGCTTTTCATATAAACATGGGTATCAAAGTCAGTAGCTGGTATTATATCTAGTTGGAAATGGTTGGTCGGGACATCAGCACTTCAAAAATAGATTTACTCTTAATATAGTCTGTGAAGTCTGTCTATACATCTATTGATTATTTTGCAGCACACACATTTTCATAAATTTTCAGTAATTGTATCGCAGGCATCCTGAGAGTGTAGCTGTTGCAGGTGATTGAGTATTTCCTTGCTGATGGGCGGAATATAGCAACTTTATCATTGAGAACAGGCTTCTCCTTTGGTACAGCGGTAACTAATCTTTGTTCCCTCAGAGAATGTCTTGTGTCCTGGACCCCCATTAAAACCAGCCAGCAGTGTCATGGTTGTTAAAGAGAACACAATTAGTGGAGGCATTAACAATGAAAATTAATTTGCTGTCATTCCCTCCCTCGTCTATCTGGGGTTGTTGCTGAAAATCACCCGACGACCTGCTTTTCTAGACTTTGCTCTGTGCTTATGCTTTAGTGAGACTGTTGCTTTTGTGGATTTAGATTTTTTGGATCAAGTTTCACAGTTAAGATTGTGTCTATTGTTCTCTGATAAATAACTACTCCTTGCTGACAAATCAGGGGTGTTGGTAAAAAAAAAGAAATTGCAAATTTAACCTGAAGCCATCGTTGTTTTGTTCACTTTCAGTAATTAAAGACACTTTGTCGTTGCTTATTCCTCTTACCTGCTGTGTCCTTCCTCTATGTCCTTGTGAAGACACAGCATAGCACATGGAGGTCTGGCCACATCTTCTGACAGCAAGAGTAATTGAGCATATTCCTTTTTAGCCCAACACAGGCTGTAGATCCCAGCAACAGAGGGGGGATGTGGAGTCTTAGAGAGAGTGATGGAAAATCAGTGTGAAAAAAAGAGCAAAAAGAAAGGAGGACAGTGGGGGGTTGGGGTTGGGTGATACTGAGTGAAGAGACGGATGATCGTTTGAAATGTGTGGCAGTGTCCATTTTAAAACGGAGAGATTGTAAACTAGGGATGAAAGGAAAGCTCTCTTGCACGCACATGAAAATTTTACATCCATCCTCTTTCCACTTCAGCATCACCTGGGAGTGGACATTTGCAGAGAGCACCAGCTAGATGGCTGTATCTTTCGAGAAAGCTTTGAAGTGGTAGAGGTGAAGCAATCTATTTCCAGTAAACATAATATGTGACATAACATAAAATTTATTTAAGACATTTTAAGTAAGGCTGTGGATAAAATATCCCAGTAAGAAATTGGACCCTCCCTTAACTGAAATGCAATAAATGCAGTCAAGGTATACAGTACTGTATGTGCAGTGAAGCCTTAATTTAGCCAGATTACACAAAACATTCAGGTCCTGTTCAAAACATCTATATCAAAAATGATTTCTTACGTTGCTCATTCAGTAGCAGACCTTTCCAAACATAGCTCAGATGCTTTAACTTGGAGTGTCGCTTTAAATTTGAAGTTGGCATGTCTGACCATGTGCCAGTAGGAACAGTTTGCATGAATACCTGAGTTTTATCTGTCCAAGTCTTTCTTTGTTAGGTAAAAATAAAAATCTGCCAAAAACTCTGCAAAACTGGCATTAGAAATACCAGTAGATGAGTCTGAATTAGGCAGAACTTAATTTGTCTAAAGAAAAGTACCATTATCAATTGACTGCAAACGTGAGCTATGTGTATAGCTCATTATTCTCAGTGAACATCGCTCTTGTTCATGTTCATTTCTTCAAAACTGGTATATTCAGTTCACTGTACACTGACAATATGAACGTATTCAGTGAACGCTGTTAATTAATAATAATAATAATAATTGAACTTTATTAATCTCACACTGGAGAAATTCACCCTTACATTTGACCCATGCCCTTGGGGAGCAGTGGGCTGCCACTGTGTGGCGCCCGGGGAGCAGTGTGGGGCTAAGGATCTTGCTCAGGGAGCCAGAGTGACAGTCTGTGGGAGTGGGGCTTGAACTTACAACCTCTGGGAGCCAAGCGCAATGCCCTAACCATTAGACTGCCACTCCCCAACAACAACTGCACAACACTGGTCACCTGTAGTATGCTGTCTTAATCTACACTTGGTTTCAAGAACAATGTAGCATTTGGCTTTAGTTAAAACTGCATACCAGAACTAAATCAGCATGCTTAACTGTTTTCTAGAAGTTGAAATACACTGATCATGAAGATGATTTATGCTTACAGTTTTCTTTTATTTCCACAGCAACCAAACAGTTCTCCACCAGTTCTGCTGCCCTGCCCCGGAGGCTCCTGAGGCAGAGACTTCAACTGCCTGTGTCCCCAGGTAAGATAGTTCCCTCCTGATAACATCTTCACAAATGTTTTTTTTTTTTTTTGAATCTATAATCTATTTATTTTTGCTGTTGCTTCCAATCGCAGCCTCTTTTCATGCTTTTTGTTAATAGCAATGCTTCAGTAGCCAAACCCTTGTCCAGTCATCTGCCCCAGAAGTGGTGTCTAAAATTAAAGTGGTTTCAAATGCTTCAAGGTCCTGCAGGGATGAAAAGCTTGAGTTCCCCCTTGACTCTGCAAAGTCACATGGAGGACAAACTTAGCAGATTTAAAGATTTTGAAATTGCTTTTTGGTCTCTAAATAGACTTTAAATAGTCAAAACAAAAGAAACGGCATCAGTTGCATTTCATAAAATTCTGATTGGTCATAATTTCTTGATTGATTCCCTTTAGGCAATTTTGTAAGGTAAATATGCAGATTTTATGTATTGTTTTAACACAATATACCCTGCAAGACAAGATATAGTGATAACAATTACTAATGACAATAATTTTACGTGTGTATTATACTTCTTTTTAACAGTAGAAGAAAAAAGGAACACTTAGCACTTAAAATGCAGAGTAATAGGTTTTCTCTGGCCATTTAAAAGAGAACTGGCCACTTATTTGCTTCGTCCTTTCGTTTACTCAAGTGCTGTCTTCCACCCAAATTTTTACTGAAAATTTTTAGCATTCAACCAGCTAAGGCACATCAATAGCAATTAAGCCATTCACCCGAAAATGGTTTGTTTGTTGCAGGCTTCACTTTTCCACAGGATTGCTCTGCTGCATTGTTCAAGCTTGGCAGAGGAGAGAGGATAAGCAAACACACTGGATAGCAAATCATAGCCCCTGCAATGCTGGACACAATAAGTGGCAACAAGGCTGCAGACCAACAAATGCTGACACAGATTCTCTTTAAACAGCTAATAGGCTTGCATGGTTTGCAGCATGAACTGGTTAAAAGAATTGGTGTGTAAGGAAGAGGAGTATGATACAAAATTAGAGACCTTTTTATTTTAAACCTGCTGAGATCATTTTGAAAATTGTATATGAGGTCCTTAAACATGCCAGTCTTGCACATTTTAAAAATAAATCTTTTACTTCGGAATCAGTCTAAGTCATCAATTCCTGATCTTACCACAGAGGGATCTTTATCACATGTTAAATACGTATATTTAAAAAAAAAATCTTCTAAAATATACGTATTGAAATTGCTTTTTTTCAAGAGGTCAGATTTTCTTAAATTCTTGTAAAATGTAGATCATGCAAAATTCTTATTGGTTAAAATAATAAACTTTTCACTCATTTTTTATATCAAATACATGAAGATTGCATGTAATGAAAAATAATAAATTGAATTATTGAATTGAATTATTCATATCTTAACTCTCACAGTATATTAGACAGAGTTCTCATATGCATTATCTTCCGCTTATTCAGGACAGGGTTGAGGGGGGGCATGAGTCTCAACATGGACACCCAGACTTTCCTCTCCCCAAACATCCCCTCCAGCTCATCTGGGGGAATTGCTTGGCCAGCTGAGAGAAAGTCTCTCCAGTGGTCCTGGGCCATCTCCTTAGCCTCCAATCCGTGAGAGGTCCCTTAAACACCAGGGCATTTAAAAAAAGAATTCTGCCCTACATTATTTGAGTCCCCTTAATGCTGAGGAGTAGCAACACAATGATGAGCCCATCTCCGATTAAACAGGACTGGTAACAGAGGACAGCCCTGCTGGAGTCCAACTTATACCAGGAACAGGTCTGACTTATTGCCAGCAATGTGTACCAGGCTCATGCTGTGCGTGAAGTTTTTGACTTCATTGATTAACAACTCTGATTCTGAGCACCAAGTCTCTGCTTTCACCAGGGAAGCTATAACAACAAAGTTTCAGAGATCCTTAAATTGTTTTTTTGGGGTCCTTTTTGAACTTCTTCAAGGCCACATTGTGAGATTTGCATCAACCTGGACAGTGGCAAGTACCTGTTTGGTGCCTTATAACCCGCACAAACAAACTGTGTTCGATAGGACTCCTTCCTCAGCTTGATAACATTCCTTCCTGCTAGTGTCCACCATCGGAAAAAGATGATTGATTCATACCCTGTTTCCCCAGCCTTCTCTGTAATTTAAGGAAATGTATGGATGTGAGAGTTGCTACCTGACTGAAAGCTCTACCACACTTGGTGATCGGTGGACAGCTCTGCCCCTCTCTTTACCGTAACGTCCAAGACATTCGGCCAAAGGACAAAAGCTACAACTATGCAGTCATTGCAAAGTGCGCTAAACAAAGCATTCCTTGTGTAAGCAGTCAGTGCGGTGGTACTCACCAAAGACGTACTGCTCCTTGTGGCAGAAACATTAAATAGGATATTTATTCAGGCTGGGTTTTCTTCTTAATGGGCCCACAATTCAAAGTGTTGGTCAGGCTATATTTTCTTGGCCTGATCTATACTAAGTCAGTCTATTCTACCCAAATTTACAAGGATGTTACCCTCTTATTCATAAGGGTAAATGCCAACATTAGATGACAGAGCTGGAGGAGACAAGCAACACCCCTTTGAAAACAGCCCACTTCTCAAACCACCACTTTTACATAGGCAAGTGTGTCAGTGATCATATGATCCCATTGGCTGTCTTGTCAAGACTTACTGTAAATGCCCCAGATGGGGTCTCCAAAGACATACGGACTCTGGTTGCTGGGTGATAGTTGTGATGAAGGCTTTTGAATCATTTTTCTTTGCCTGACTCGTCACTCATTCACGACAGCCCATGTAGAAAAAGAGTTGCTGAAATAAATTATCTCTAAGACCGCAGAAGGTGGAGCTTCAAGCTATAGCTCAAGCTATCAGCAAGTCACTGGAAGCATCACAGGCCCCAGGTGGATGATGCATGTGGAGTGATGCTGAGCTGAAACCACCAGTGGACAAGGGTCATTAATAAGCTTATTGTATTGGACTTCAAGAAGCAGCCTTTTCCCACTAGTATTAGCCACAAACTCTGCTTACTTTATTGAAAATAGTACACACATTGTCAAAATATATTTAATCAAATGACTTTTCCATCAATAAATATTTAAGTTCTTCAGTCATGGGCTCAGTCTTGTATCAACAAGAAACAACCAAGAAAAGCAAATCCTCTTTATTTGGGTCACATTCACTATAAAACCCCAAATACTGTATAGACTCAGGGCTATTAGTTATGTCATTTTAAAAGATATTAATTCAAAATAAAACTACTGTATGAAAATTTGTCATATCCAGGAGAAGCACCCAATGTTTCAAGATCCGCACAACAACTCTGATTCAATGAATGTTTAACTTGTTTTGAAGCGAAACAGAGTTAATGAATTGGAAGATAAAATTGGAGGCGTTTCTTTAAATAACACCAATCAAAAATAGGCTTTTTAAATATAATGACTCTTTTATGCTGAAGATGTCAAGATAGGCGAGATGAACAGAGATAGAATAGAAAGAACAGAATAACTCAAAGTTTATTCTGTCGAACTTTGCCTGATTAAAGGTATTTAATGCTTTGATTTCTGATTGTTTTGTACTTTGAAGCCATCAACAAAGACAAAAAATGAAGGGACCAGCAGAAGGTCCTTGGTAACTTAAAACATTCCCCTGACAACCTCTGAAGAAAACCACTTCAAAGTAGGACCACCTGGGGCTAAGACGGAAGGCAGCTTGTAGATTTTGTCGTTTTTTGTTCTCGTCTAATATCTTTTAAAAAGCTGTATTTTGTTCAGGTTGATTTTTGTACTTCTACATTGTTGTCAGTGATTGGTTGATCATCCTTTCACGTTGCATTCCACATCCCAGCAACTTAACTCCACACAACACCCCCCACTTCATTGCATCCGTCATCACTCATGCTCATGCCATCTGGGCTTGTCTCACGATGTGGTCACACTGATTCTAAAATTGTGCAATACTCCCATGTTGGTTAAGACTACTAATATGTGTTAAGACTGTCATAATGCATCAATGTGTGTAGCGTAGGGTCCTTTCCATGTTGGAAACTTGGCTAGCCTTCTTGTTGACACATGTAATGCATTTGTGTTCATGTGAAAAAAACAAACAAAATACCTTATGTTGCATGCTCTGGCTTGGCAGAAATCAAACATCCTGTAGCTCCTTGTCTGTTTGTGTGAGTGTTAATGTGTGTTTTTGCCGTGTGTCACTGTTGTGCACATGGCATGCAGTTGATGATTTATATACAGTGCATTCCAAATGTGTCAATATACTTTACCTCATTTCCCATTCTGTCTAATTACAAACAGAAATTTTGATGTATTTATTTGGAACTTTAAGTGATGTACCAACACAACATAGTGCATAAATGAAAAAATGGATGAATCATATTTTATGGCTTCTTTGTCTCTGATATATTTCATAGGGACAACAAGACACCCCCAACCATATCCATTTAGTGGAAAATAAATTCACCCTAATCTCCTTTAAATCTTGTAACCTTGGAATGACCTTTATAGCCTACTTTAAATTTCTCAACAACTTACTACGTATTAACTATGTTTTCTTTCTTTGTCTTCATGATTTTTTACTTGAATAATCTCTTCTGAATCAGTAAGGCTTTTAATGAATAGCTGTAACTACATAGAGATTAAATTATAGTTAGCTAGATTCTGATATATTCAAAGATTTTAATATCACATTTGAAAGCTTTTATTGATAAAATACACTCAAAATTATACACTATTTTCTTACAAACAGCTCATGTCCTCTATCTCATACAATCCATTAAGGCTTAAAACCATAATGTGGAAACAGTAAAATGTCATGGAAATATCAATGATTTAGCAAAGAACTGTATTTCAGTAAAAAACACACCACTACAACAGATCATGAATGTTAGAAATTGAGGTATTTTTACCAATTCGTCTTTCATTTATGTAAGAGTTTATTAACTACATATTGTTGTTTTTAAAGGGCAAATCTTTGAATCAGCAAATGAAAGGTTTTTTGCAGAAAGAAATGATAATGATGAAATAAA